GAGACGCCGGGTGGTCTCCGGGGCCCCAGGCCAGGGTAGGAGCCCAGCCCCTGGTCCGGAGACCTGGTGACCCTACAGACCAGCCCTGTCCCCTCTGTGCTGGCCCTCCTCCCCCCTTCGCTCGCTCCCTGGTTCCGCAGCCATAGGCTCAGACCCACCCGCGGTCGGTCCCGAGGGGCTGACTCAGACTTGGCCACAGCTGGGCCAGAAAGCAGAAGCTAGGGGGGGCTCCTCCCTTCCTTAACGGGCCCCACCCCAGGGGCTGGGGCAGCCTCTATTCCACCCCAAGACTTGACATGGATGAGGGCAGGCATTGTCTTCACTGCGGTTTGTCAGGGTTTTTTTAATGTGGGGTAGGGTGTGTGTACCAGAGGGGTGAGATGTGTTTGTGTGTGTGTGTACACTCGGAGGTACACTGGATGGCCTTGGGCAAGATCGAGCCTCAGCCTCCCCTTCTGTAAACGCAAAGATGGGACGCAGGAGTTTCCGAGGGGGATAGGGCGTTTCGGGGGGGATAGGGCCTTGCCTCAGGATCTCAATTTAAGGTAGCCAGCTCCCCAGAAAAAGGCCCGAGGCAGATGTGGGGTGGGGGTGGGGGACTAACCAGATTCTGCAGGTCTCGAGGGCCAGTACAAGCCAGAACTCGGAAAGCCCCCAGCTGGGACGTTGGGTCACCCTTTTACTCAGTTCTGGGAAGTCCTGTGTTTCTACACAGGTAGCAGCAAATTTGGGACCTGTTTCCTCGGTTTCTGGCTGGAACAGCCCTAAACCTGGTGCCGTCTCTGCAAAGCCCACTTTCTCGTGGAAGCTCCCCCAGGCTTGGAACAAAACTGATTTTGGCTAAGTACATACAGATATAATAAATGTAAACGCTACAATTTCCCATGGCAAATGCAACTGTAATGGTAATGGCAAGATTTGGTGCCCACGTGCTCTGTGCCCATTTTATCAAACTGCCCCACCCCACCCCCCGAAACTTCCCATGGGAAGTAGTGAAGATCGGCTTTCCTATCCCTTGGCAAGGAGGAACTATTGGGTCAGAGGGAAGGCAGCTGCCCACAGGTGGCTGAGGGCGGGGACTGGGAAGAGGCTGCAGTGGGTTATTTACTGGCTGAAGCCAGAGCACTTTAGCCTTTGCTTTCCCCTCAGGAACACCTGGTCGTCAGGAACCTCCTGACGCGGCCACAGAGGAAAAGGAAGCTCCTGATCCCCAGAAGCCAGTGGGACCGAGATGGGCCAGAGATCAGGGGAGGCTGGGCTCTGTTCAGCCCGTTGCTCCTGCTGAGCTGCTTGGAAGCCCATGAGGGGCAGTAAGGGTGGACTCAGCCAGGTCTAAGGGGAGGAAACATGAGATGGGGGAGTGATAAACCAAAGGACAGGGACCCTGCGGGGAGCGGTCAACTGGAGCCAGGTGGAAGATGCTGTGGGGGCAGAGGTCACAAGGTTGGCCTGGCTCTGCCCCCCGGGGGATCTGGTGGTGGCCTGTTGAGGGCCAAGGGGCCTCCAAAGCTGAGTGGAGTGGTTAGGACCCCGAGGACAAGGGGAGCCCTTAGGGGCAGGAGGACCCGCTGGACTGGCAGCGTGGTCTGGTCTTGCAGAGCTGGGCAGGGTCTCGAGTCCCCTTTCCTCTGGGACCTTCTCTGGACCCTGAGGCAAATGGAACAAGTACATGTATGTCAGCCCTCAAGGGTGGCTTAGGCTGGGGGTGGGGGGTGGGGAAAGCACACCCCTTCCATCCCCCCTCCCCCAGAAGGCCCATAGTTCGCAGGCACCAACAGTTCCAGAGCTTTATTCGTGGCAATGCCGATGTACCGTACAAAATGCTCCTGCCGGGTCGGCAGCATAAAAATCAGAGTGCTCATCCTGGAAAAGGGAGGAGGAGGCTCGGCTGCCCGGGAAAAAGAAAGGGAACAACATGGTAAAAGAAGCGGCCAGGGCGACTCATGGTGGCCAGGTGGGCGCTGCTGGCAGTGGTGGGGCCCGCTCTGTGGCAGGGGGCCTCCGTTCCTGGGGCCAGGCCCAACGGGCCAGTGCTCGAGTTTATTTTGAATGAATCTCATGATGGGGAGGGGGTGGGGAATTCTGGGTAATGGCCCCCTGGGGCCGGAGGAGGCCCCACCACAGGTTTCACTTCAGGGTTTGGAGGGGAAGCTGGGGTCTGTGGGGCGGGTCCTGCCCGCCCGGCCCCAATGTCACAGCCGAGGCTCTTGGAAGTGGCCGAGCGAGCGAGCGAGCGAGAGGTTCCTTCCTCTCCGGGCCCCTGGGTCTATGGCTTAAAAATCAGGGCTCCCAGGCTGGGTTGGCGCTGCCCAGAGGCCTCTGTAAACAGGGCAGGTGCAGCCAGGAGGGGTTCTGGTGACCCCAGAGGCCTGCAAGGGGCAGGGAAGGGGGTTGGGTGCAGGGTCCTGGGAGGACAGTGCCCCTGAAGGGGGCTAGGGTATGGGCTAGAGGGGCCCCCGACAGCCATGGAGAGACAGGGCAAGATGTAGAGAAAAACTGGCATGTGGGGGTAGGTGGGGCGGGGCGGGAACTGAGACAGACAACCAGTTGGCAAGGGATGAGACAGGCGGACAGAGACAGGTGGGCAAAGAGGGAGAGGGAGAAAAGGCTCAGGGGAAAAAAGAGGAAGATGAAGGGTGAGGGGGGGGCGGGAGCCGAAAGGAGGAAAAACCAAGAGAAAAAGTACTGAGGCGGGCAGAGACTTGGACAGACTCAGATGGCGGCAGAGGCCACGCGCCAGGGCGTGGGGGCGCAGAGGCAGAGAAGGTCGCGGGCTTGGTCCCAGCCTCTGTGTGGGCTCTGCTCCTCCCTCCCTCGGACTGGACGTCAGCGGGCAGCAGGTGGGGGCCCGGGCCCCGGGGCGCGCACGGGGTGGGCCAGGGTGACGGTGAGTGCGTCGTTGTGCTGCACCAGCGAGGCGTGCTGGTAGTGCAGCACCAGCTCCTTGAGCGACCCGTACAGGTTGTAGGGCTCGGCAAAGCCAAAGCCGGTGGCCGTGCGGTAGATGACACAGTGCTTGGTGTCGCCGTCCACCCTGTGGGCCAGGCCAGTGGTGCGTCAGACGGAGCCCTGGGCTCCCTGAGCCCGTCGGATCCCGCTGCCTGGCCAATAACCCCGGTCATCAGATCCCCCCACAATCCCCTCTGGCCACAGTGCACACCCACCGTTTTCCCTCACCTCCAATAACCCGAGCTCCGCGAGGTGTGTGAACAGCGCCCACCCCCCTGACCCCCCCCCCCCCTCACACCACGGAGCAGGCGTAGCAGCCCCGCTGGCTGCTCTCTCGGATGAGGAAGGTGCCATCCCTCTTGCCGCTCAGCATATCCTCAGCCTGCGTGCGGTTGATCTTGCCCACGTACCATGTCCGCTCCTCGTGGTGTGGCAAGTCGTCCTCATCCTCCATCAGGGAATACTGGCTGTGAGGGTTGTGTGTTTGCAGGGGAGGGGGGAGGGGCACACATGGTCACACACCTGCCAGCAGCCAAGATCCCCCTGCTGCCCAGACAGCATTTCTTCCCTGGCTAACAAACTACTCTTTCTTCAAAACCCATCAAAAAAAGACCTGTCCCTCCGGGAAGCTGGTAAACTATGCATCCTTCAAACGCCCTCAAAAATAGCCCCTCCTCGAGGAAGCCCTCCACTAGGTAGTTACTTACTCCTCAGTCTCGTTTCTGATTCCCAGCCACTCGTTGATTTTCTTCTGCCTGGCACCTTTTTGGGTGAGCCACCTGAGGGCGGGCAGAGAAAGCTGGGCTCAGGTCCCTGCCGAGGTAGAAACCAAGGCTGGGGCAAGGCTGGCCCTGGATGCCCTTCAAACCTGGCCCCAGACAGGGGCAGACCTGGGAAGGCTGTTTCTGGATGCGTTATCGCCGGTGGCCACGTGGGGGCAGCCTCCACTTGGCTAAGGGAAGCTGAACCTTGGTAGGCTCCCGTGGCTTCAGGTGTGGCGCTGGGGTGGGGTTGGAGGGCACTTTTCTAGAACACGCCAGGCCAGAGGAGCCCTTATTACGAAAGGCTGTATCTTAGGGATGGCCTCTCGATGGGCCAGCTGTTTGCTCAGTGCCTCTATTTCCCTGGACGTCAAGGGCAAGCTTCACCAAGGCATACCTGGTGGAGCCCCTGTGTGTCACCCGCAGCGGGTTCGAGGGCAGCGCTGGGACTTGAACCCAGGCTGGGATGGCCACAGCCTCTTAAGCAGAGTTTCAAGAGCAGGGGCTTGTGGATGGGCCGCTTGGTGGAGCAATCGAGCGGGAAGGTGGCGGAGTCCCCAGGGCGCCCCGCGCGAACGGGGCTGCGCAGGTGCGAGGCACTCACACCAGGTACTGGTCTCGGATCTTGCGCAGCTGCATCAGGTCGGGCTTGAGGCTGTTCATGCGCTTGTCGATTTCCCGGTTGTCCGAGGCCTGCGCGCGTAGCTCCTGCTCCAGCTTTGCGCGGCTTTCGTGGATCTCGGTGATGCGAGACTTGAGCCGCTCTGAGTTAAGCAGGATCCTGCGGACGGTGGTGCAGAGGGCTCAGCAGGCGCCCAGGCGCGTCCCTCGGGGCCCTCTTTGCACCTAACCATGGGCTCCAACCTCTCGGCTTTGGCCCGTGCTGTTTGCCCAGGGCTTCTCTTTCTGGCCCAAGCCCTAACCATCCCTTAGAACCCATTGCCAACGCCCGACTGTCCGACACAGAGCCCTGGCTGTCCCGTCTGTCTCTCTCCCCTTGTGACTCACCTCTGCATCTCTTTCTCATTGCCCTCCCGCCGGAACCGCTCCAGATACTCCTTGCTGCACTTCTCTTGCGTCTGGCCCTGCTCTTCGAAGATCTTGATAGTCTCGTTGAATGCCTCGATGGCTGTGCGCTTCATCTGCAGCTCCTGGAGGAGAGAGTGTGTGTGTGTAAACCTGTCTTTGGACCATCCCACAGGGAGAAAGTGATCCCAGCGCTCTCTGGCTGGCCCTGCCACCAGGCGTGCGAATGCCCTGGCTCCTGCTTCTTCGGCTGACCTGCTTGTCAACCTCCAAAACCCCATTCCCACCAAGCTCCCACCTCCTCACATTCTCCTTTGGGCTACCTGGCCCTGCAGGCCCTGGTGGCCTCGGTCTCCCTGGGGTACCTGCGAGGTGCGTGTGTACTCCTCATAGAGCTGGTCGTACTCGCGGCTCTTGTCCTGGTACTGCTGGTGGTAGACCTTGAGTTGGGCGCCCACAGCCTCCACGCTGTCCTCCTTGACAATCTGGTCCTGGGGGCACCCGGAGGAGGGGTCAGGGGGAGACCCAGATGCAAAGTCTGGCCCAGCACACTTCCCCTTGGCTCCCGCCCCCCTGCTGCAGCCCGGACCTGCTGGTACTTGGACACGGGGTACAGCAGCCGAGTGTCCAGCTTGGCGTTGTACTGGGCCAGCGACTCGTGGCGGTAGTGGGTGATGAGGTCCACGACGGAGCAGAAGGTGAGCGGCTCGGAGAAGCCGTAGTGGCCGTCCCGGCGGAACACTTTGATCAGTTTGTTGTTGCCGCCTTTCCTGGAAATAGGGGGAGCGGTCAGTGACCGCCAACACCCTGACCTTGGCCCCAAGTCTCCCGGCTGTGACATACACCCTTGATGTCCTCCTGCCGCCTTCTCGGACCACTGACACCAGGTTCGTGGGTACAGGGCTAAGCCCCTACCTGAGGGTCAATGTGTACTCCCCCTGGATCTTGCTAGATGCATCTCGAACCAGGAAGGTTCCATCGGGCATGTCTCGGAGTTTCTCGTTCACCTCCTCCCTGCCGAAGAGACCCAAGATCAGGGTCACCTGCCAGAGACCCTGCTCCCCACACTCACAACCTCCCACCCCAGACAGACCCCATGCTGCCCCCACCCCACCAAGGCTCTGGCTCCACTCACAGCTCTCCCGGAGCTTCACCAGCTCCCCTACCTAGAGATGTCCCCCCAGTACCACTCAGCATCCTGCAGGGAGGGCGGGCTTCCCCCATTGGCTAGGCCCCCTGCGGCTGGCTTTGCCTTGGGAGGCTTAGGCGGCAGTGCTGGGGAACAAGAAAGCAAAGCCATGTTGAACACCAATGGTCCACTGCCACCAGGCCCACTCACACCCTGCCCCAGTAAGAGGGGGCGGAGGGGGGTGTGCACACCTGGGGGCGTGACTTCTTCCTCTTCCAGGTGTTCCTTGAGCAACTTCTCCACCAGTTTTGCCGGGAAGTCGGGGCCGGGCTCAGTCCTGTGGGGAGGGCGTGCGGTGAGTCCCGAGTGGCGCCTGTCTGTCCCTGTGCACACACAGGTCTGTGAACCCTGATACCTGGGCTGTGTGTGAGTGCTGGTGGGGAGAGGGAGGGGAGGGCTGATTCCTGCTTATGTGCACATAATAGGTGAGATACATCGCAAACCAAAAAAAAAAAAAGAATAAAAGTCCCAAACCTGGGGTGGGATGACTGGAAGCAGAGGCTGGGAAAGACGCCCAAGTGGGGGGATTTGGTGGCACTGTGGGTGAAGCGTTGGGCTACTAACCACAAGGTCGTAGCTTCAAACCCATCAGCAACTCCAGGGAAGATAGAGGAGGCTGCCTGTTCTTCTAAAGCCAGCCTCGGAAACCTTTAGGCGCCCTACCCTGTCCTTACCACCCAGCGGCTAGCGGCTGCGGGCGAGCCCCAACCTCGCTCCCTTTCTTGACACCAGCTCCCAGTCCCGCCCTCCGTCCAGGCATAGCCAAGGCTCACCCATCGGGTGCGCTCCCTGGCGGCTGCGGGGGCGCGGGCGGCAGCGAGGGCAGCAGTAGCAGCGGCCCGAAGGCAGCGGCCAGAGCTCGGATGGCAGGGCCTGCAGCGGGGGCTCGGCGGGCCACGCGCCCCAGGTGCTGCAGCAGGAAGCGCAGCGTGAGCGCGCGGTGCAGCGGCAGGGTCGGTGGCTCCAGCGCCTGCCCCACAGGGCCGGCCCCCTCTGTGGAGAGAAGCCGACCCGCTGCAGTGAGCCACGTTACCTGTACCCGCCCACCCAGGCCCTTTCCCCCCCCCGTGGGCGCCCCCTGGGCTCACCCCGCAAGACCCTGAGCGCCTCGGCTGCAGCCTCAGGTATCACCAGGGGCGCTGGAAGCGCCAGCAGGTAGCCCTTGATGCCATCCGCCAGGGCCACCACGTCCCACTGCTCCACGTCACTTAAGGACCAGTCTGCAGGGGGCAGGGGACACACGTCCGGATGATCCTAGGTCACTACCTGGACCTCTGATACCGGGTGCTCCCCCCACCCTGTCCCCATGTTCCCCTCACCTGTCCGTGGGGCAGGCAGCTCTGGCCTGCAGAGGGAGGCACTGTCCAGCCCTGAGGGGGGTGGGGGGGTGGGGGGAATGGGGCAGGAGTCAACCATGTGAAACGGTGAGACTAGCTCTCAAATCCAGACCCCCACCCCCTACTCACTGGCGATTTGAGACCCCGACAAGACTGGAGGGGTGATCCCGTTCGCCATTCCCTAGGGGTGGGGGGGTTGATGTGGGGGTGGTAATAGGGAGTGGTGTCATGTCTCCCTACTCCACATAGGGGTCCCTCAGCTGGCCCATGGCATGAAGCTCACCTGTGCGCTCAGCGGCTTCCACAAGCTTTACCAGAAGGGGCGGCGCCACGTCTGGAGGGGAGAACTGCTCAGGCAGGTCGGGGAGAGGGAAGCCTGCCGGAGGGAGGGAGGGAGGTTAGGGCGGCATGTTGGCGAGGTCCCTGGCAGGGCCTAGCATGGCTCCCTGCCTGAGGGATCCCTCCGCTTGGGTCACTTCAGGCAGGGACTGGCTCAGACAGGCAGCTGGCCCAGGGGGCTCTCCATGGGTGTGTGTGTGTGTGTGTGTGTGTGTGTGTGGTGGGGAGGTTTCAGCTGGAGGAGGAGGGCCTAGCTGAAGGCAACAATGTTCCCGGTCACAACTTGGGAAAAACCAGAGGTGGTGGGTTACTTTGTATCCCGCCCCTCTGAAAGAGATGCCCCCAGACGCCTGGGGCTGTGTGTGATTTCATTTGGAAGCTAGGTCGTTCATGATTGTGATTAAGTTGTTGGGTGCCTTCGATTTGATTCTGACTCACAGCAAGCGCACGGGGCACAGCTGACCCGCCCTGTGGGGTCTCCTGGTCCTGGGCTGTCACCTTGCTGGTCGGCTAGGTAAAGGCAAGGCGCCAACGGGAACCAAGAAGACCCTCAGCTCGATGCTCTGCGGTGTGGCTACCACAGACGGGGGCAGGGCAGGGCAGGCGTGGACCTGGAAATGACTTGAGGGTACGAGGCCAGAGTGCGCTCCTTAGACGCAAGACTTGGTCATACATGCTTTGGACATGTCGTCAGGGGAGACCCGTCCCTGGTGAAGGGTATGTGTGGTAGCATGGAGGGCAATGAAAGGGAAACAAGGCCGACTGATATAGGGGCTGCACCCACGGTCCAGGCATCGTGCCCATTCCCAGGGGGACAGGCGCAGGGCCAGGCAGCGCTGCAGGCATGGTCGCTGTGATCAGAGCGGACTCCAGGGCACTGAACAACAAACGGTGACAGCGATGACCCCTGGCAGGAGCAGGTGGCCACCAGGTCTTTTCTCCCAAGGAGCCACTGGTGGCCTCCAACTGCCCGCCTTTGGGTTAGGGGCCAACGGCTCACCCACTGTGACACCTAGGCTCCCTGTAATAAAGTTAAAAGATTTCGAGAGGAGACAGCATGCATGTCGGGTCCAGGGACCGGCACCCTTGTAAGAAAGGGCAGTTCCCCAGAGCCCCCCCTCCCAAGTGCAGCCATGCTGGGATCTGGACTTCCAGTCCCCAGAACAGGGGAGAAGAGAGGCCCGTGGGAAGCTGACCACCGGAGGTGCTGTTACCATGCCCACGGAAGACTCATACATCAGGCTTGGCCTCCGCCACAAACCCCAGCTGGGCCGCCTCAGGTAGGGGACCTGCCTTCTCTGGCCTTCAGTTTCCTTAAATAAGGAAGGGGCCATTAGCATTAGCATTGTGGGGAGGGAGTGTTTACAGGGGGGGGGGGAGAAAGAAGGTAGAAAGGAATGCACAGGAAACAGTTCCTGGGGACCTCTACGCCTTCTCCTGAGGCTTTTGCTGTTTTTCACAGCACTTTGCTTTTTAAAAAGGATTCCCTATCCCAAGCCCAGGGACTCACTCCCAGCAGCCAGGCAGCCCGGCCCGGCCCCCTGGTTCTTTCCTGTTCAGAAGCCTCTGGCTCCATCACCACATTTGACCTGGAGCTGGTCCTCGGCAGGCAGGGACGCCCTGGCACGCAGCAGGGACAAGCCAGGGCCTGCGGGGCGTCCTGAGTGATGGGCCAGGTGGCGCCTCAAACTGGAGAAGGGCCCAGCTGCGTGTCGCAAACGCCAAAACAAACAGCAAGCATGCACGGCGAAGGGGGGTAGGTGACGCCCCGAATGGAGTTGGGGGAGGCGACCCTGAAAGTCTTCTGTGACCAGTATGCCAGCAGGTGGGGAGGGCCCCACAGACCCGGGTCCACCCCCTTCCCCCCAATGTTACAGATGGCAATCCGCGAGGCTCTGAGTATGACAACCTGCTTGCTGTTACCCAGCAGCCTCGGCCTGTCCCTGGCTTCCTGAGCAGCAGGCATGTAGGCGGGAAGGGACCATCCCTGTGGCTTCCAGATGAGGAAACTGAGGCCTGGGGTGGGCGGCTCTGGCTGAGGTCACGTGGTCCTGGAAGGCTCAGAAGGCAGGCTGGGCAGCTGCCCCACATGGGGCTTTGTGGCGGGCAGGCGGGCGGCTGGAACGGGGCCAGGCCAGGGAGGGAAGCGGCTGTTACCAGGGACAGAGGCAGGTTCTGGCTGGGAGCCCAGATGGGGCCTCCTGCTCTTTGGGCCGAGGTGGGATGCAGGCCTAGGCCTGGGCACGCCAGATGCAGAGGGGCCCAGCGTCCCTGCTCTGCCCCGAGTTGGGAACTCCAGATCAGCGTCCCTTATGTTCAAAATCAGACTGACCTTAGTGCCTCCTAGCTCCCTGGACATGCTGGGTGGGCCTCTGGCACCTATCTCGCCCTCTGTGCACAGGGCCTCCCAGGCTTGCCCGAGGGTCAGTGCAGACCAGGCTGGGTCCCCTCTCCCCAGGCAGGCTTCATTTTCCCCCAGCTGGGACCCACACCTGCTGCCCGGTGCATGGCAAATCCAGCGTGGACTCTGTGCCAGGCTCCCTGCTCTCCCCGGCAGCTCTGTGGCACCAAGGAGGGCTCAGTTTCTGAGGAGGGACACAGGGTCGTCAGGGGTGTTAGGTGGGTTCCACGGGGCGCCCCATCCTGAGCGTCCCCTCATTTGAAAACTTGCGTAACAATGAGGGCTGCTCCTGGGACACAGTCTGCAAACCACCCGATGGAGAATGTGCCTCTCGGTCCTTGGTCCGGCTGAACTTTCCTGGGACTTGCAAAAATTCCCATGTTCCTCTCCAAACCCCAGGCCAGGTGCTGCTGCCTCTACGTCCTCATTCCACCCCACGTGTGGAGCCTCCTGCCCCCAGAACCTGACAGTCAATCCCACTTCCTGACCTTCGCCCTCACTGCTTGGAAACAGTCCACCCCCAGCTCTCCCCACTCGAGGCTCCTTCTCCCGTTCTGGGCCGCCCTGGAACCACCTTCTTCCGATTTCTTTAACTGGCAGTTCCACGAAGGCAGCGCCCGGCCTGTCCTGTGAATCGGGCCCAACCCCAGAAAGACGGTGCCATCAATGGTCAACAAGAGTGACCGAGAGCCTGAGCGCCCCACCGGCGAGAAGGGACAGGTGGGGCTGTGGGAAGACAGCACCCTGCCATCATCTGGCTGCTCACCTGGCTCAGGGGGCCCATCCCGGGGTCGGGCAGGTAGCGGGCGGGGGCCACGTGGACGGGGGCCGGGCCGGGCCAGCGCCACAGGTCCCAGGAACTCGACGTAGGTGCCGGGAAAGTCACCACGCTGCCGTGAGCGCTCGTTGACGCCAGGCATCCAGCCCACAGTGTGTGGGCAGCGCTCCCCGCCCTCGGCCACTCCCAGTGCCTGCAGGGCTGCCCGGCTAACCACCAGCAGGTCTCCAGGCAGCAGCTCCAGGTCCTCGGGCCGTTCCCGGCGGTATGGGTACAATGCGCGGTATTGGAAGCCGTCGGCACCAGCCATGGCCAGGCAGGGGCGAGGTCCAGAGTGTCAAGTGGCTGCTGGGGGTCCGTCTGTCCCCATTGGCCGAGTCAGGGCCCAGAGGGTCCGCTGAGCTGGCTCAGAACACTCAGACCCCTGTGTCCACCATGAAGTTGAAACAGTGGAATTTAGCCAGGGGAGGCCGGGCCAAGCCTGATGAGTCTAGGGGAGCTCACACCTCCATCTGTTCCATTGGGTCACGACCCCGACCAGGGTCTTTCACCACTGTGCCCACCATCAGCCTGCAGGCAGGAGGGGTCTGCAGTGTGTTCTGGCCACTCAGCCAGGTGGGGACCAGGATGGACCACTCACTCACTCCCTCATGTGGGGGGCCTTCGGCGCCTGAGGCTGGCGGCTCTTCTGAGAGAGTCAGGGGCACAGGTGGTCACCATGCTCAGCGGGGATGTGGACCTAGGGGGAAAGGCAGGGCAGAGTCATCTGGGCTTGGCCCCCTCACCACCCCCCACCCCTCAGCCCAGGGATGGGCCCCAAACCCAGGTTTCAGTCTCAAACTCACCAAGCCCCCTCAGGGCCATTGGGGCCCTTCTGTGGGCCTCGGTTTCCCTATCTGTTAAGTGGCAGCACCCCTTGGGGTCTTTGGGGGCAGAGCTTTAGGAACCTGCTCAAGGCATACGCAGCAGCAACACATCCCCCGTTTGCCCTTGTTAAGAATGGGGAGATGAGGCTCAGGGCAGAGATCATCATTCAGGGCCAAGTACAAATGCAAATCCTTCTGACTTTCTGGCCCAAGACGGGGTGGGGGGAGTGTGCAGTGGGGGGAAGGAGTGTGTGTGTGTGTGTGTGTGTGTGTGTGGTCAGTCACATAGTCAAAAGCTAGAACTGGAATGGGCAGGACTGCTGGGTTAGTGGGGCTGGGGGAGGAGGCTCCAGGAAGATCTGGACAGGGGTCAGCAGTGACCAGAGCCCCACAGGCCATGGTGGACGAGCAGAGGGAAGGAGGAGGGACCGCTGCGGTTGCCACCAAGTGAAGGCCTGGAGGTGAGTCAATGCGAGCAGACCTTGTGCCTCCACAGGAGGGTGTGTGTGTTTGTGTGTGTCCCTGGCATCTCTCGGTCCAGGGGGCTCCCCCGGAGGGGCTCAAAATGGGTAGGGGTGGGGTCAGCAGCCAGAGGGGAGGGCAGACCCAAGGCAGATGGCAGGAGTGTCCTGTGGCTGCCAATGGGGGTGGGGGTGGGGTGGGAGCTGACAGATGAAGGCCATGATCACCCGGCTCTGAGCTGAACACAGGTATGCCACCCTGCAAGGCTGCAGGGCAGGGTCTGGGGGCACCTGAGTGGGGGCAGGATCCTCAATGAGGCTGGGAGGGTGTGCTGGGCAGCGGGGCTGTTGGTGTACAGGCTAGGTATGGCAGCTAGGCGGGTATGTGCCTTTGACCAAAGAAATTCGTTCAGGGGTCTGGTACGAAAGCGAGGTGGCCTCCCACACAGGGTCTGGAGGTCCAGTACTTGCCGCCACCAAGAGTCCCAGGAGACGTCCTAAAGAACAGGCCTCTCTGGCCCCCCTGTGCCCACCCTGTCACCTTGATTCCACAGGCGGGGAAACTGAGGCCCAGAGAGGGGACATGGAGGAAAGGGATAATCGGCACGGTCTGGGACCTCCCGCCATTCCACTCCAGGGTACACGAGTTTGCACAAGCCCCAGTGTGCGCCCCCCTGAATCCATGAGGCCGGGTAGGGGAGTGGGT